TGTGTTTTTATGTCATTGGCTGTGCCCCCGTGGACGGGATCCAGTGCAGATTGTGCGTGCGCACCCCCACAGCCTTTGGGCGCTCATTCAGGCACAAGGCGAGTGATTGGGCCTAAAAAGCAGTCACTGTGTGTTAGGAATGGACTGGCCAGCAATGGTGGGACTCACCTGCCTTTTTGATCTGCAGTACCAGGGCTGGCCAGCGGGTGCTCCCAGCAATCAGAGACTCAACCTTTCAGCCAGCTAACACCTGGAACTGATGATACTGGGGTATTTAAGGGATGGCCAGACTTGCAGACTCTGCCTTGGTGTTGTGTTTGTCCTGGGCCCTGTATCTGTCCTGCATCCTGTTTCTGTTCCTTCGCTGACCCTGATCTGAACTGCTGCTGACTTCTCCTGCTCTGATCCTGGCTTGTGACCCTGACCACCCCTCTGTCTGACCCTCTGTACCTCGCTGCTTGCTACCTGCTGAACCTGGCCTGTGACCCCGACCATTCTCTGCTTGCTCCCCCCGTACCTACCTGCCCAATTGATTATTGACCCGGCCTGCCTGACGACGCTTGCTTGTATGTACTGTTATCTGTGGGTGGTTGGTTTGGTTTGTTTGCACTGTATTATGTTTAGTATTGCCCTGCGTTTATGTTTGTATGGTTAGTGTTAATAAATTATATTGTTTATCACATTTCTGAAGTCTGCGTTTCCCTGCATCAGTCACACATCTCTGGTCATACCTGGGAGCCCTGACATTACACCAAGGCCAATCCTGACCAGAAGTGGCTGCACAGGGAAGCCATCTTGGCTTGTTGATGGGAAGGATGGATCTGGATGAGGTTGAGTATTTATATCTGCTAGTGTTTGATGACAGGGAGTATGCTTATCAAACTCTGAAGGAGTATACCCGGGATGAATTGCTAGAATGTATACGGCTCGCTCATGTTCTAGTACAGTGTTTTTCAACAGAGTTTGTGCAAAGGTGCACACTTTTTTCATGAAAAAAATCACGAGGCACACCACCATTAGAAAATGTTAAATACCTCTGTGCCTATATTGACTATATATAAAGTAATTCTCTTGAATAGGAATCAAACACAAAGAAATTATTTTTGGAATTACTTTATTATGACCACATAATAAAGTATTTTATAATTGGACCCGGGGCCGGACCAAGAGTAGATGAATGATGTTATGTGTCATCCATAGTAAGTTAGTAATATTCCCCCATAGTAAGCATAGTAATTAATCCCCCATATAGTAATTCATCCTCCATATAGTAATTCATCCCCCATAGTAATTCATCCCTCATATAGTATTTCATCCCCCCATATAGTATTTCATCCCCCCATATAGTATTTCATCCCCCCATATAGTATTTCATCCCTCCCTCATATCAGTATTTCATCCCTCATATAGTATTTCATCCCTCATATAGTTTTCCTTTCATCCCTCATATAGTATTTCATCCCCCCCCAGTATTTATCCCCCCCTATAGTATTTCATCATCCCCTCTATAGTATTTCATCCCTCATATAGTATTTCATCCCCCCATATAGTATTTCATCCCTCATACAGTAATTCATCCCTCATACAGTAATTCATCCCCCATATAGTAATTCATCCCCCATATAGTATTTCATCCCCCCATATAGTATTTCATCCCCCCATATAGTAATTCATCCCCCCATATAGTATTTCATCCCCCCATATAGTATTTCATCCCCCCATGATAGTATTTTTCATCCCTCATATAGTAATTCATCCCTGATATAGTAATTCATCCCCCATATAGTATTTTCATCCCCCCATATAGTATTTCATCCCTCATAAAGTAATTCATCCCTCATATAGTATTTCATCCCCCACAGTACTATTCCCCCCCCCCCCTTCTAGTAAGCCAAGTCCCCGTGTCAATTCACTTACCTTTTGCGTTCCTCTCGCTGTCTTCCCGCGCCCGTTCGGGTCTTCAGGGCGGACTGTGAGAGGAGCCTAGCTCCCCTCCCCTCACGTTCGGCACGCTGCCCCGCCTACACACATCCTGACAGCCACATCCGCAAGCAGGGCACAGTGTTCTCTGAGGTGCAGCCATTGATTGAGGTTTGTGCAGAGTTGGTTTCATCTGGTTCCCCCGAATGCAGGGATGAATTTTTGCCACCATTTAGTGCAGACCAGGTAGAGTCCCTGGTGTGGTTATTAGAGGATGATGTGGGTTACCTTTTGGAGCGTTACTCCACATGTTCACCACAGACACTAAGAGATTGTATCAACGCAGTGCAGTCATTGACCAGACAGGCTTTGTGTAAGCTCAGCTTTGTTCAACCCCTACTGCAGACATGGACAGACTTGTTGCACCCAGCCTCAGTCAGCTTACAAAGACCCAGTCCTGCTTCTAACTCTACTCCTGTATTCCCACCAGCTCCTCCTTACAGCCCTGCTATACTTGGCTACCTACCGCATGTCAGTACCCTGTTCCCACTCGCTGCACCTATCCTGCCTTTAACCCTGTAAAAGAGCCCTCTGTAGCAACTGCTCCCTCTCCTGTTCCATCCTCCAGTTTTTCTCTGTCTCCAGCTGCTCCATTCGTTTGCAGACCTGCGTTTACTTGCAGTGCTCCAGTAGTTAAAACCAGAAAAAAGCGAAAATTCTTTCCAACCAATACCATCCTGCCAGTATCCAAACCGGTGAGCCTGCCTTCCGTGACTCGGCCTGAAGCCTCTACTCAGCCTGAAGCCTCTACTCTCGCCTGAAGCCTCTACTCGCCTGATGCCTCTCTTCAGCCGGATGCCTCTCTTCAGCCGGATGCCTCTCTCAGCAGCAGCCTCTCTGCCTCTCTTCAGCCGGATGCCTCTCTTCAGCCTGAAGCTGCTCTCTCTCAGCCTGAAGCCTCTCCTCAGCCTGAAGCCTCTCCTCAGCCTGAAGCCTCTCATTCAGCCTGATGCCTGCATTCAGCCTGATGCCGCTACTCAGCATGATGAACTGATCCAGCCCGACGATCCTATTAGGCCAGTTGACTCGATGCCCGCTGTTGATCCAGATGATCCGGTACCTGATCCAGTGCCCGCTGTCGTGCCAATTGACTCAGAGCCCGCTGTCATACCTGGTGACCCGGTGCCCACTGCCTTGCCAGATGACGCGGTGCCCGCTGGCAAGCCAAATGACCTGATGCCTGGTGACCCAGTGCCCGCTGTCATACCTGGTGACCCGATGCCCGCTGTCGAGCCAGACGACGATCCAATGCCTGGTGACCCGGTGCCCACTGCCTTGCCAGATACGCGGTGCCCGCTGTCGAGCCAAATGACCTGATGCCTGGTGACCCAGTGCCCGCTGTCCAGTCAGACGATCCAATGTCTGACCCCAGTGCCCGCGGTCCCATACCAGTTGACTGACTGGAGCCCACTGCCTTGCCAGATGACCGGTGCCCGCTGTCAAGCCAAATGACCTGATGCCTGGTGACCCAGTGCCCGCTGTCCCTGGTCAGACGATCCAATGTCTGACCCGATGCCCGCTGTCGACCAGACGACCTGGTGACCCGGTGCCCACTGCCTTGCCAGATGACGCGGTGCCCGCTGTCGAGCCAAATGACCTGATGCCTGGTGACCCAGTGCCCGCTGTCCAGTCAGACGATCCAATGTCTGACCCAGTGCCCGCGGTCATACCAGTTGACTCGGAGCCCACTGCCTTGCCAGATGACGCGGTGCCCGCTGTCGAGCCAAATGACCTGATGCCTGGTGACCCAGTGCCCGCTGTCCAGTCAGACGATCCAATGTCTGACCCAGTGCCCGGCGGTCATACCAGTTGACTTGGAGCCCACTGCCTTGCCAGATGACGCGGTGCCCGCTGTCGAGCCAAATGACCTGATGCCTGGTGACCCGATGCCCACTGTCCAGCCAGACCATACAATGTCTGACCCAGTGCCTGCGGTCATACCAGTTGACTCGGAGCCCACTGCCTTGCCAGATGACGCGGTGCCCGCGGTCGAGCCAAATGACCTGATGCCTGGTGACCCGATGCCCGCTGTCCGGTCAGACGATCCAATGTCTGACCCAGTGCCCGCGGTCATACCAGTTGACTCGGAGCCCACTGCCTTGCCAGATGACGCGGTGCCCGCTGTCGAGCCAAATGACCTGATGCCTGGTGACCCGATGCCCGCTGTCCAGCCAGACCATACAATGTCTGACCCAGTGCCTGCGGTCATACCAGTTGACTCGGAGCCCACTGTCGTGCCTGGTGACTCGGTGCCCGCCGCTCCGCCTGGGGGCCCGAGACCTGTTGCTCCGCTTTGGGGGTCCAGCGCCCCGCCGCTCCGCCTGGGGGATCCGGCGCCCGCCGCCCCGCCTGGGGGCCGAGACCTGTCGCTCCGCCTGAGGGCCCGAGACCTGTCGCTCCACCTGGGGGTCCGGCGCCCGCCGCTCCGCCTGAGGGCCCGAGACCTGTCGCTCCACCTGGGGGTCCGGCGCCCGCCGCTCCCGCCTGAGGGGGCCCGAGACCTGTCGCTCCATCTGGGGGTCCGGCGCCCGCCGCTCCGCCTGAGGGCCCGAGACCTGTCGCTCCTCCACCTGGGGGTCCGGCGCCCGCCGCTCCGCCTGAGGGCCCGAGACCTGTCGCTCCATCCTGGGGGTCCGGCGCCCGCCGCTCCCGCCTGAGGGCCCGAGACCTGTCGCTCCATCCTGGGGGGTCCGGCGCCCGCCGCTCCGCCTGAGGGCCCGAGACCTGTCGCTCCTCCTGGGGGTCCGGCGCCCGCCGCTCCGCCTGAGGGCCCGAGACCTGTCGCTCCGCCTGGGGGTCCGGCGCCCGCCGCTCCGCCTGAGGGCCCGAGACCTGTCGCTCCACCCTGGGGGTCCGGCGCCCGCCGCTCCGCCTGAGGGCCCGAGACCTGTCGCTCCTCCTGGGGGTCCGGCGCCCGCCGCTCCGCCTGAGGGCCCGAGACCTGTCGCTCCGCCTGGGGGTCCGGCGCCCGCCGCTCCGCCTGAGGGCCCGAGCCTGTCGCTCGCCCTGGGGGTCCGCCCGCCCGGGGGCCCGAGCCCTGTCGCCCCGCCTGGGGGCCGGATGCCTGTCGCCCCGCCTGGGGGCACGATGCCTGTCGCCCCGCCTGGGGGCCCGGTGCCTGCGCCCCGCCTGGGGGCCCGGTGCCTGTCGCCCCGCCCGGGGGCCCGGTGCCTGCCGCCCCGCCCGGGGGCCCGGTGCCTGCCGCCCCGCCCGGGGGCCCGGTGCCTGCCGCCCCTGCCCCCGCCCGGGGGCCCGGTGCCTGCCGCTCCGCCCGGGGGGGGCCCGGTGCCTGCCGCCCCCGCCCGGGGGCCCGGTGCCTGCTGCTCCCCCGGGGGGGCCGGTGCCTGCCGCCCCGCCCGGGGGCCCGGTGCCTGCCGCCCCCCGCCCGGGGCCCGGTGCCTGCCGCCCCGGGGGGCCCGGTGCCTGCCCTCCGCCCGGGGGCCCGCCCCGCCCGGGGCCTGCCTGCCCGGGGGCCTCTGCCCGATGTGCCTCTGCCCGCCCGATGTGCTGCTCTGCCCGGAGTCCTGCCCGATGTGCCTCTGCCCGGAGTCCTGCCCGATGTGCCTCTGCCCGGAGTCCTGCCCGATGTGCCTCTGCCCGATGTGCCTCCCTGCCCGATGTGCCTCTGCCCGATGTGCCCGGATGCCCGATGTGCCTCTGCCCGATGTGCCTGCCCGATGTGCCTCTGCCCGGAGTCCTGCCCGATGTGCCTCTGCCCGGTGTGCCTCTGCTCCGATGTGCCTCTGCCCGGAGTCCAGCCCGGTGTGCCGCTGCCCGGAGTCCTGCCCGGTGTGCCCAGTCTTTGCTATCCCGCCAGTTGCCAGACCCGGGCGGTGGAACATTTTGCCCAGCTAGGACTGTTTGGAGCCTGAGGCCGCTCCTTGAGGGGGGGGTACTGTTAGGAATGGACTGGCCAGCAATGGTGGGACTCACCTGCCTTTTGATCTGCAGTACCAGGGCTGGCCAGCGGGTGCTCCCAGCAATCAGAGACTCAACCTTTCAGCCAGCTAACACCTGGAACTGATGATACTGGGGTATTTAAGGGATGGCCAGACTTGCAGACTCTGCCTTGGTGTTGTGTTTGTCCTGGGCCCTGTATCTGTCCTGCATCCTGTTTCTGTTCCTTTGCTGACCCTGATCTGAACTGCTGCTGACTTCTCCTGCTCTGATCCTGGCTTGTGACCCTGACCACCCCTCTGTCTGACCCTCTGTACCTCGCTGCTTGCTACCTGCTGAACCTGGCCTGTGACCCCGACCATTCTCTGCTTGCTCCCCCCGTACCTACCTGCCCAATTGATATTGACCCGGCCTGCCTGACGACGCTTGCTTGTATGTACTGTTATCTGTGGGTGGTTGGTTTGGTTTGTTGCACTGTATTATGTTTAGTATTGCCCTGCGTTTATGTTTGTATGTTAGTGTTAATAAATTATATTGTTTATCACATTTCTGAAGTCTGCAATTTCCCTGCATCAGTCACACATCTCTGGTCATACCTGGTTGAAGACTTCTGGGAAAATCAGTGAGCCAATCACACAAGCAGGAAATTACATTCATGGAGGTGGTTGTATTGGATTTTATTGAATTTTAAAGCATTGCAGATTGAAAAGGAAAGGTAATTTTTAATAGCATTCAACTACAATATAGCTTATGTAGCAATTGTATACGCTATGCATATATGGTGTGTGTGTGTGTGTATATATATATATACTGCTCAAAACATTAAAGGGACACTTTGAAAACACATCAGATCTCAATGGGAAATATAATGCTGGATATCTATACTGACATGGACGGGGTAATGTGTTAGGAATGTAAGGACGGCCCATCGTTTGATGGAAATGAAAATGATCGACCTACAGAGGACTGAATTCAAAGACACCCCGAAAATCAAAGTGAAAAAATGATGCAGCAGGCGAGTCCATTTGCCTGAAATGTCATTGCAGCAACTCAGAATGGTCCTCAGTAGTTTGTGTGGCCCCCATGTGCTTGTATGCATGCCTGACAACGTCGGGGGGGGGGGGGGGCTCGTAATGAGACGACAGATGGTGTCCTGGGGGATTTCCTCTCAGATCTGGACCAGGGCCTCACAGAGCTCCTGGACAGTCTGAGGTGTAACCTGGCAGCGTCGGATGGACCGAAAAATGACATCCCAGAGGGGTTCTATTGGATTTAGTTCAGGGGAGCGTGGGGGCCATTCAATGGTATCAATTTCTTCATCCTCCAGGAACTGCCTGCATACTCTCCCCACATGAGGCCAGGCATTGTCATGCACCAGGAGGAACCCAGGACCCACTGCACCAGTGTAGGGTCTGACAATGGGTCCAAGGATTTCATCCCGATAACCTAATGGCAGTCAGGGTGCCATTGTCTAGCCTGTAGAGGTCTGTGCGTCCCTCCATGGATATGCCTCCCCAGACCATCACTGACCCACCACCAAAACGGTCATGCTGAACCATGTTACAGGCAGCAGAACGTTCTCCACGCCTTCTCCAGACCCTTTCACATCTGTCACATGTGCTCAGGGTGAACCTGTTCTCATCTGTGAAAAGCACAGGGAGCCAGTGGTGGACCTGCCAATTCTGGTGTTCAATGGCAAATGCCAATCGAGCTCTATGGTGCCGGGCAGTGAGCACAGGGCCCACTAGAGGACATTGGGCCTTCAGGCCACCCTCATGAAGTCTGTTTCTGATTGTTTGGTCAGAGACATTCACACCAGTGGCCTGCTGGAGGTCATTTTGTAGGGCTCTGGCAGTGCTCATCCTGTTCCTCCTTGCACAAAGGAGCAGATACCGGTCCTGCTGATGGGTTAAGGACCTTCTACGGCCCTGTCCAGCTCTCCTAGAGTAACTGCCTGTCTCCTGGAATCTCCTCCATGCTCTTGAGACTGTGCTGGGAGACACAGCAAACCTTCTGGCAATGGCACGTATTGATGTGCCATTCTGGAGGAGTTGGACTGCCTGTGCAACCTCTGTAGAGTCCACGTATCGCGCCTCATGCTACCAGTAGTAACACTGACCCTAGCCAAATGCAAAACTAGGCATAAAAGACGAGTAGGGAAAAAAAATGTCACTGACCTCCACCTGTAAAACAATTCCTGTTTTGGGGGTCGTCTCATTGTTGCCCATCTAGTGCACCTGTTGTTATTTTCATTGACCCAATAGTAGCTGAAACTGATTAACAACCCCCTCTGCTACTTACCTGACCAGATCAATATCCAAGGAGTTTCAATGACTTGATGCTATACTCTGATTAAAAAGTGTCTCTTTAATGTTTTTAAAAGTATAATATAATACATATTTAAACAATCTTGTATAGTCCCTTGCATAATAAACACACAACCTCATGTTTTAACATCAGACTGTGATAAAGAGGCAACTATGATGGTTGGTGATCCATTCATCCCCCCCCAGCTGGGCATGATACCAGGATTCCACCATAACTACAGGCAAAAAGGCTGCATTATTCCAACCTGTGGCAGTTACTATGAGCACATGTCGGCGATAAAACAAAAAGGCAGCTTACTGTTCCAGTTAAGGGGAATGCTTGCAACGTGTTCAGATCAAGGTCAGGTGGGGGGGGGGGGGGGGGGGCTTAATTTTTTTAAATATCTGACTTAAATTGTACACTGTAAAACACGGTTCCACTTTTATTACCCTTTGTAGGAGGTCGGAAGTGTCCAATGGGTGGTTGGATACGAGTCCTGGCGTTGATGTGGTTTCCAGCAGAGATCTCCACACAGACTCTCAGGTTATTGTGGAGTGTGATGTGGCTCGAGATGTAGCCGCCAGTCTCTCCAAGGGCACCTAAGAAAAGTCCTTCATTGAGAGGCAGTGAGGGTAAACATTACTGTATCATGTCTGGGAGGAGACAGTTGACAACCTTGGAAAAGCTATGCTATGGCATACCAAGCCTTAAATTTTCTATACATTGAGGTCCTAATTCCCTATATCATGTAGAGGGGAACAAAGAGTTCATACTCAATTTGTTGGTTTGAGCGATTATCATGTGATTTTTCGTGTTCAGGCTATAGGGGCAGCCCTATTCACTTCAAGGGGCGTAATTTCTATGTGATATGGTCGCCCTGTTTCCTTCTTTTGGGTGGCAAGGCTAGTGCAATATTTATAGGCGATTTTGCTGTGCATTTGCCACCACATTGGCATTATATTTGAATTACTACAACTTTGGCCATATGCAATATATTTAAAATAAAAAAGAAAAAAAAAATATATATGAATATTATTATCATAGATAGATAGATATTTAATAATACTGTATGTTGAAATGGCGTTTTTATTACTATATATATGAAATATATTTAAAAAATT